GTGGAGAGAGGGAGGTAATGGGTCTGGAGTTAAGGATGCCCTCGATTTCTACAACTAATGTATTTAACTCTTCGAATGTGAAGAGTGCATCTCCGACTACCCGTTTGAAGTGATGCTTGAAGAGCTTCACGGTGGATTCCCATAGCCCGCCAAAGTGTGGTGCTGCTGGCGGGATAAAGTGCCATTTAATTTGGTTTTCGCATGCAAACCGATCAACTGTATTCTTATGTTTATCGGAGTTAAACAAAGCGTACATTTCCCTCAATTGGTTGTTCGCGCCTACGAAGTTTGTTCCATTATCGGAATAAACTTGGGCTGGTATGCCCCGTCTCGAGATGAATCGTCGCAGGGCTGCTAAGAAGCCGTCCGAGGTTAAATCGTTCACTACTTCAAAGTGTACCGCCTTTATTGTCATGCACACAAATATACAAACGTACACCTTTATTCGAATGCGATTGCGGTGTTTTTTCTCTTTAATGTAAAACGGTCCGCAAAAATCGACGCCGGTATTGGCGAAGGGAATGGCTTCACGCACTCGAACTTGCGGAAGATTTCCCATTTTGTATTTTATGGTGTCGTTATTGAATCGATAGCAACGTACACAAGAGTGAACGATTTTTCGTACCTGCTTTCGGCCGTCTAAAATCCAAAATTTCTGTCGAATATTGTATAAGGTACCTGATATACCTGTGTGATGTCGCGTCTCGTGAGTTTCGCGGATAATACAATCGGTTAGGTAATGTCGGCTTGGAAGCAAAACGGGGCATCTTTGTGAGTAAGATAGATTCGCCTTTCGCAGACGTCCTTCTACCCGAATCAGGCCATCGTTATCCAGAAATGGGTTCAAGTTGGCTATTCTATTTCTGTTAGCGACACCCTTTGATTTAAGTCCCTTAATTTCCTCGGAAATTGAGATGATTGGATTATTCTTAGTATTTTCACTTCCGCTGTTTCGATTTCTTCGACTGTTAAATTGCCCTTGTATTTGTTGAGAGGGTGAAACCGGAAGCAATACGCGACGATCCTGCGTAATTTGGAATACGATGAGTATCTTTTAGATATGTCGGGATCGCGGGGTGTTATCATTAGACAAGTGTTTCTTTTCAATTCGGGAGTCTCTATAGTTTGCATTATTGCGCGAGGCCATTCATTTTCACATCTACTTAGCCACTGAGGGCCGGTGCACCATGTTTTTTTAAGGATTAGAGCCGCTCTAGGATATGCATGCCCTTCGTCTTCCGCGAATTTTTGTATGACTCGTATTGCGAGAAAGGGTGTGGAGGAAGCGCCGAATGTTAAGGTGTTAAGTTGAAGCGTCTTTATTTCGTCGTGTATGCGCCAGAGAATTTGCTGATAATGTCTGTCTTTTTCATGTACTAGCACTTGCCTATACATTTTCTCTATATCTCCAATAATAGCATATCTATGTGAACGAAAACGTATTAAATGTGTAAATAAGTCGTCGTAAGTTATCTAGATGTATAAGTAACGTATTATGTCGCCTTTGATATATTGTGCAAGTAGTAAATTTGCACGGCGTTCCGTGATGCGATCGTAAGCAATTATAGCATAGGTTCGCGTTTTTTATCATATCGATACGTTTAAGTACCGGCAAACGTTTGAATTCGTCGCATAAGCAAAGTGCGTGTCGTTTGGTTTTACACGCTATACGATTACGTGCTGAGTTTACTAAAGGACTTGACCCGATGGATAACTTCGTCTTTTCTTCATCGGAGGTTCGCCTTTATTCCCTTCCGTTTGTGATATCCTACTTCTTTCACGTTTAGACGCGCAAACCGCGGTTTTGTATATAAATTCGTATAGTTGGTCGACTCTTGGAAATTCGTCTCTTTGTAGCGTTGCTTCCCATTTATCTATGGTCCCCTTTGGCAATTTACTTTCTAGAAGATGAACTAATATTTCTGACCCGACCGATACGCCCAACGCGTTTAACGAAGCTATGTGTTGTTGAAATTCGTCAGCTATTTTAGATAGGCCTTCTGTGGATTCTCTGTCTAACGCGGGAAGGTTTATGATTAACGATAAATGTCGCGAGACTAGTATGCGTTTTACCTCGTAGGCGCGTTCCAACAATTCCCATGCCTTTGCGTAATTTATACCGTCGATAGTAAATGTCTTCGTTTTATTGGCAGCTACTCCTGTCAACGCTGACTTCAAATAATGTAATTTATCTACGTCCGACAAATCTGTTTGGGACCCTATCATATTGTTGAACGCGTTCTTAAAGGAGAGCCAATTTTCATATTGGCCGTCAAAGGTTGGGAGCGGAGCGTCGGGTAATTTTATTCGTCGTTTTTTGGTAGTTATGCTCTGTGAACTGTCGGACTGTGTGTCATCGTTCGCTGTACTACCGCTCGCGGTACTACCGTTCGCTACGTTAGTTGGATTGAGCAACCCTTCGATTTTACTCGCAAGCGCGTAATACCGGTCTTGAAGGCTTGTAAATTCGCCTTGATGATTGTTATCTGGATCTAATACTACTAATTCGTCATTGTGCTCTTCTAGCGCGTGGAATAGTTCTGTCAAGCGAGCACTTCGTAATTTTAGATTGGCGTTATCTATTTTGCCTTTTTCCAATAGATTGGCTAAGTTAGTAAGTTGGGATTTGAATGTTGTCCTTTTTTGTACAAGAAGCTTGATCTTGTCTGCCATTATTGCGGCCGTGTGAGGACTAGGATGGATCGGGAATGAACGACTTACTTGTGACGATAACGTGTGTGTGACTTCCTTCGCGGCGCTGATTCGGGAAGTCCAACCTCTTTTCTTGAGCGCTCTTCTCTTGAGCGTGACGCTGACGTCCTTGGCTGATCACTTCTCGTAAACGGGGGGTCACTTTGTCGTGAGATCAGACCTCACAGGAGGCACCATGTTCGCATCCAGTGTGGTGGTTTTATCCACTGCACCGTGGTTTCGCTTATTTAATTAATGACGGAATATTGTGTGTTTCATTATGTTTTATTCTTATAATAGATTATTTATATTTTGATGTGTAACAATACGTACGCTTTGTTCGAGGTGGCAACGCCTTGGGGTCTCGGCCCCGAGCCACGTTGGGTGAGT